TGTGATCACAGCCACAGGCTAACGAAAAATTCCCGTGAGCTAATGTTTTTACCCATAGAAGCCTAAGGATAGGGCATTACAAATATGGTTTTGGTTTTCTCTGAAATTAATTGTACGTTGCTAAAAGAGAGATTGAAAAGTGGCCAAAATAACACTAAAAATCAGCCTCTGGGTACCCCTGAGGGGCTGATATCCAGAACTCGGCTAAGAGAAGGTCGTTGAACCTGAAACTTTGGCATATTACATAAGTCCACATAACGACTTTGTGTACCAATTTTAAGCGAAATCGGCCGACCTTCATTTCCAAGTCTGCCCCGGTCTCTCAGGCAGAAGCTCTTAATTGTAACAAAAGGTCTTCATAGCAGTACTGATAAAAAGTCACCAGAGTTTATTTGGCCTTAAGGCAATTTTAGACGAAACTGGTTAGACGTTATTTTTTAGTTGTCTTGATTTTTGTATCTGAACATTTTTTCCTCTCACTCCCTTCCAATCAATGTTGGTTAGGTTCTTATATGAATACTACTACATTTTAAGCCTTGAAATACAACATTAAATCAAAATTTGCCACGAAGTTTAATACTTGGTTTCTACAATAAGTATAAAAAGTACATAAGCTAGATTAGAAACAGGATTTTTTTGCTCAAAATTGTAATATTAGGTATGTCCCATTGCTAGTGATATGTTAGCTGATGGCTGCACCAGACATTTCAACATTATTTTAAAAAATATTGTTTGATGTATGTAATATTTCACAAGTTACCTGCAGTTTGATTTCGGCATGACTCAACAAAGGGATAAGGGAAGGCACAACTCCACTTTCAATAACAACCTGCAGAATATTCAGAATGTTTCTTTTGGTATCAGCATAACTATATATAGCCTCCTATGTAGACATCCTTCAGGCTCATCATGCAATCTTGGAAGGAAATATAGTGTGACTCGCCAGACGTCTGCGCAGGAGGCTAACCCATATAACGTTAAAGTTTAATAATTTTTAATTGGTACTGAATAACATGTACCTCAAACATGGCTGTTTGGGAGAATCTTTACTGGGCAAATGGCTCCTTAAAGCACATTTTGAATGGTCAACAAATACATTTACCGTCGATATAATGCTGAGATATAATATCATCTGATAGCTTGGTTCCTTTAATGGGTCAATGTAGTTCTGAAAAGAACTGTAGTTGAGTCAAGTGAATAGTATTTCAATTGATGTTATAAGTTTGTTCCATTGAAACTGATTGATTGGTCTAGTCATGATGGTTTTGACTGTAAGACTCGAGTAAAGTTTGTCAACAAGTCAAGTCAATATTTAGGCAGGGTGGCCCTATCAGCCATTGGCTGGTTCATAAGTCAGTTCTAGCAAGTTTCGATCCATCTATTGTCAGTCAAATTAACTTGTTTGTTTGAGGTCCGTCTGTATGTTTTGTTTATCTAGATTCAAAATAGGGCAAGGGTTTACAGACTCTACCCTGTTTGTGAATCTAATCAAACTGAAGATGAATCTAAGAAAACATCACACTAACACCAGGCGGCGGGAGACAACAGTAACAGAAGTTTTAGAAACAGACCAAGTAAAAAGAGGTATATCAAAAAGAAATTGCGTCAATTCGTGAAGGTCAGAAAAGCCAGATTATGCTAGCAGTGCTAAATTTAGATAAAATCTAAAAATTACGCTCGGTTTGCTAAATTATGCCAAAAATATGCCAGCACAATCAACAAAAGCCTACTTTCCAGGGTCATGTACTTCCTGATCCCTGGTCAAGGAGAACAAAGAATCTCGGTACGAGGTTGACTGTTTATTTTTTCCTTCTTTTTTTCAACTTTCTGTGAAAACAAGAAATGCCTTAGAAACAATGGCTTGCTATTAATTCTAGAACTTCTGGAAATGTTTGAAAAATACAAAGACCACTCTTGTTTGTATATTTGTTGGCAGTTCACATCTATATAGCAACTAGTTTAGTGCATTTATACTTTGTAATTTTTTTTACCTACATTATTAGAAACAATTGTTAATCTTTATCAAAATGAACACTTTTTGCTAAACACCTGAAACATTTTTACCTGGATTTGATGATTACCACCATCTGTCAGATATGACAAGGCCCAAACCGTGTCAACCAAAATCTGAAACAGATAAACACAAAATTTCTTCAAATTTAAGAATATCTCATGCTAGAACAAGAATTATAAAGTAGGTGTAAAATTTACACGCATAACTATAAACTTGGTACTAAAGATTTTTCAACAGAGAGCCCATGCATGTCACAGATACTGGGGCACAGCAAAATGAATACACTAAAAATAAACACCGGTACACTAAAATAAAACAAAACTAAACTTCAATGGAAATTATGACTAAATGATGAAAATGTAGAGCTAAGTCTAAATATCTGAAACAAAAAAAAAACTACTGCCTATAATACTAAACCAAAAGTAACTAGTGAGACAATCTCAGAAAGTACAGCACTGAAACATAGAAGACATACAAGAAAATGTATGATTTGCAGGGGTTTTCTGTTAAAACATGAGTATTACAGCCATTTGCACATGGTTGGTCTTGAACCCTGGCTGATACCTCAAGATTGTTTAGTACATAGTTGCAGTCGGTAATGGCGTGACCAATGAAGTACAGCTGGTCCCAAGAGTGAAACGATTGAGGTTTACAGATGTTATTCACTTTGGCATGCGCTGTCAAGATGAGTGTCGTTAGATCGGGGATGTAGCTAAAATTTGCACTTAACCTGAACTGAATAGGTGGGTATTTTAAGTTGAAAGACTATTTGAATGTGGCACTGGCATGTTCCACTAAAAAGCACAACCCCATCCACAAAACCTGCAATGATTTGGACAGCAGCAACAATCAGGACCTCTGGGCAAAATCACAAGATAACCCAGTATTAACCATAGAAGTTACTCTCTCCATGCGTGATCAGAAACGAACACCCAGCTATACCACATGTGTACAATAGAACTGGAACTAGGATTTTTTGCTTCCATTTTTTGATTCTCCTCAGTGTGTAGAATTTTCAATCAGCTACTGACCTTGAAGGTCCATGCTCTTGGGCCAAGACTGGAAAAAGCTCCTTTAACCAGTCATACAAGCTGATATAACAATTTTTATTTTCAATCTAACGGCGAATTCACAAAGTAATAAAATTGTTCAGAAAGAAACATGATAATGTTAAGAACACGATATAATCTATTACTTACATTTAGATCTGGATGGTGAATGAGAAGAGCTAGTGCTGGTAGGACCTGAAGAGTGATAACAACTCATAACACCTTGATCTAGCAACGGTTTTGACATTATAAGAACTTGAAATTCCAGGGATTGTCAAGAGCAAACAACAAAAGGCAAAGAATGTTTGGCCGGATTCAGAGGCATTGAGTTTTCTCATACTTTGTCAGCTTGTAGGCCTCATAAAAGTGACTGAAGGATATGGGGTTAAATATTCAATGATTTATTAGAACTCTTCTGTCTTTAAGACAGAAAACAGCGATAACTATCACTACACAGGAAGCTTAGATTTCACTCTGCAAGAACCTTCTGGTGTTAACACTATTGAAAGTATTTCTAAGTTTACTTGCATACACTGGTCATTCCCCAGTCAAGATATGATTATTATTCATACTGCAATTCACCATGAACAAATTGAGCCCAGAATAATTACACAGTCTCTACATATGAGTGAAAGTCAAAAGTAAGACCAAACAAACGGGACAAAAAGTCAACAAGTAGTGTTTAAAATCTTCTGAGATTTTCACCAGACATGGTTCAGTCATTGTTTTTTGTACGTTTAAAGTTTTGTATTAAAGGGATCTAGCAAAAGTCTTGCATGAACACTTGTCAAAGTTCTAATGTTTCCTTTGTGATGTACGTTTTTGGTGCCAACTTTAAAGAACATCGCTCCAATATTTCTAGAGATATTCCTGATTCAGTAATTTACCATTTTAGTCGCACTACTTATGACGTCATGACTTTCCTCATTTGCATAATACAAAAACGTCAATATCTCTAAAACAAAAGAAGATATTCCAAAAGGGAAAATGCCATTGTTCTTTAATTTGAAAAGCCTTTCAAATAAGCAGAAATTATTTCTCACTTCACTTAAGCTCTCGTTTGTGTCACGGATAAGTCAATTCACTATAATTTAAAATCGGTTGATTCAAAATAAAGCCTATCTTAAAATGTCTACGTTGATGAGCAACAAGAATTTTCTTTTAAATTAGAGGATGCTTGATAAACATGTTGTAGAAACTGCAATGTCAATTAAGTATAGTCCAAATTCCACAGCCACGTGACAATGTTGAATAGAGTTTTGAATTTGAATAATGAAGTACAAATGACTTGATTGGCACAATGATTTACTATTGACAGTTGTCAATCTCAAAGAACACATTTTCAACCATCCTGATCATTATCTGTTGTTATCAGTCTATGATTAACTGCATCTCTTTCCCAAAAGTATTACTTAATTTGGGTATCTAGATCCCTAGTTACTCAGGATTTACAGTTACTCAGGAAACTTATACTTAAGTCTCGTTTGTGAAAATATCAGATTTGACACAGTGTCTTAAAGTGATTGTCTTAAAGACACTAATAACTTTGCTAATTACTTTAGATACTAGCAGATTTCGAACAGGGTAACCTGCAATAAACCAGCACCTATAAAACAATATCTCTAGCAATGTCAAGTTCCAGAAACTGCAGTCATGTTTGAGCCACTAGACTCCAAACTTTATATCCTTTTTATTTTTTAAAAAATAACATAGTTACATGTAAGTTACCTCCTGAATTGTTTCCATGGGAGGTGGGGGGTCTTTGTTTCTACAGAGATTTACTATCACCCATGTGACATTCCTTAAGAAACTGATCTGCCAAGTTAAAAGAAATAGATAACGAAAACAAAGACAATAGTCCAATAATAAATAGTCTCTCATTGTGCAACCAAATTATCAAATCTTACAGTAAAAGGAAGGTTTGTCTACCAAAATAGATTATTTTCTAAGCTCAATTAGCAGAAATCATTTGGCATTGCAGAGAATATTGCATATTATGAAATAAGCTTGTGTGCTTTTGAAGTTAAAGACCCAGTTTTGGCCAGGATGCATTGCACATTGTACAGCATTGGAAAACAATAGAAACCTCACTATCATGTACACCAAAAAAAAAACAGATAAAAGAAAAGCATGATGGTCAATACTGGGTCTTCAAGTGGATGAACAGTAATTCAAAGATCTTTTCAGATACAAAACATTTCTAAGGGATATTTATATCCATGTGTCAGGTATTCATTAGGACGTGAGACACAAGTTATTAGTTTCTTTAGTTGTGGTTGAAGCCAGAGTCAACTTTTTTGAAGTTACCTCTTGTGTGCTTTTGAAGTACATGTAACTGGATATACAGTAAGGTCAAAGATATTTTCAAATATAAATGTTTCAAAGGGATTACCAACTTGATATCAAGTATTCATTGGTACATGAGACAGAAGTTACTTCTTTAGTTGTGGCTTAAGCCAGAGGCTACACTTGGAAGTTAGCTCTTTACAAAAAACTCTATATGCTTCTAAGCAGCAAATACAAGCAGCACTTACCGGGACATTGGGGTTCACAAACTTGAGCAGTGGTTTGACTACACCATGACGAATGACAAAATCTCTTAAACCAGGACCATCCCCTGAGAGGAAACACCGCATTAATAATCCACGCTTCAATGTAGTAAATATGAGTGAGGCAGACAACTGGTGTCTGGCATATTATTACATGTAGCTTGGAGTCACAACTGCAACATTTACACATGATTTAGAAATACATACAATATCTACCTAATATTGAAAAAAAGCTGTCCAGAAAAAAGTATACACCATAAACGATGCCACACAGAGGTTTTCTGGGAAACTTCCAAACTTACACTGATGTGAATTCTTCTGGACGTACACATGGATATTCGATAAAAGTGGTTAATAAGATCAGGATGCCTAAGGCATACTCTGAAGGCTCACTGTACAGGCTTTATGGCTTTATTACTAATTTAGTCATGATATTATCGAAGAAACTGCCGGTTTGCTCACAAATTATGTCTGTACGCTTATGTTAACAGATATCTTCTCCAATGAACAGTCAGTTGCAGGCCGGATCTCATCTTTATAATTTGTGAACAAAAATGCTTTTAGTCCAAAAACTCCATGTGTAGTTAAATTGTTTTTTTCAGGCTTTAATTCCACAACTGCTTAAGTTGTATGTAAAACTGCGATGATCAATCATGACTTGAAGTCCACTAACTGTTGCAAACTTGGGCATACACCCACTGTATATCAAAGCTCAGGTCACTCAAGTTTTCCTTTGTTTTCTAAATTAGCTACCTTTAGGAAGACATGGACAGTTTCGGTAGTTTTTCTAACTCACCACTGTGGGCAGTAAACCTGTAATTATTAAATGCCATTAGGAAACATTCTAGAATACTAATCATGAACAAGCTTCTCTTGTCTTCCCACAATTCCATAAAGTTGTATTGTTTACGGTTTATACTGTTCTTTGCACAATGTTTTTTCAGCCAGGTGTATACAACCAGTGGTGTAGCAGGGTGCACCAACAAACTACAGAAATCTTCAAGGCATTCTGTGAGCAATTTCTTAGGACCCCTGAGCTTCACAGACTTCAAAAGCAATACATATTCATGTATTCCTCTTCTCAGTTCAAGGCAATGATTTCTGAAGCTGTAAGGCATGGTAGTCTTTCTTTCACAGCTTAAAATAACAAGGAAGTAGTGGAGCTGAGGTTGGCGTATGTGACTCGTCTTTTGACATCCACTCATGATTCAGTGTATCTTTTCATGAATAATGGATAGCAATATATTAAATATGAAGTGACATCATTGAAACAAAATATCACTTTAATCAATTTGATACCAACTAGTGAGACAATCTCAGAGACTACAGAGTGTAATTTATGGTTCTGACACAGTAGTCACACAGAATGTGATGGGACAGAAACTTGCTAAGACATAATCTAAGCAGTGTGCATGTTTCATGTGCATATTTTCATTCAAGTCCCAAAAATAACTTACAATTACCGTTTGTCAAGACAGTTGTGAATTTTACTGTCATTTGGTGTTTTACGTTAAGGTTACTTCCCACCTTCAGAGGCCAAAAAAATCGTTTTTTCTTTTATTGGACAAAATTGACGTTCGTCATTTTATCTAGTGTTTCCAAAGGCAAAACATTAAAAATCTCAAAAAGCGGCCGACTTATTTAGAAAAAAACGTATTTTCAAATAAAGTTAATAAACTAGGAAGGTATCATAATCTTGTCAACGGGCGAGAACCCTGGGGAAATTTTCGCGGCAAACGCTCATCGCTCGTATTTCATGTCATTTATTTACATCACGCACTTGACAAAAATTCCCACGCGAAAGCTCTTTTCGCTAACTCCTATGGAAAAATCAAAAGCAGAAAAGAGTCCTTGGGTAAAGAAAATGAAAAAAACCGACCCAAAGAAGAAAGAAAAAGCTCCATATTGTCAAGGAAAGAAAAAAAAACCTTGCATAAGATGGAGCCTCAACCAAATAACGACCATTTTGTAATCCCAGCAGAGGAGTTGAGCTGTGTTCCCCTGAGACCAAGTCAAGTACTTGACGAAGGTACTCAGGACCTTGCAAGTGGATAACCAGTATACCATGCAGAACTCTGAAATTGCAGAGTTTGTACACAACCAACAGGTCGCTGACAATGAGGAACTCGTACATGTATCCTTTGATGTCGTGTCACTTTCACTTTCATTCCTGAAAAGTTGGCAATTGACGTTGTCAAGTCTGATGAATGGCAAGAAACAACTACCCTCACTAAGTCGCAAGTTATACACTTGCTGGAATTCATCCCGGGAAATAGCTATTTCACTTACCATGGAATGCACTACCACCAAGTATTTGGTTGCCCAATGGGGTTACCAGTCAGTGCGGTGGTTGCCGATCTTGTCATGGACAACATAGTGGAACGGGCCTTGTCTACCTCTCCAACTGCTCCACGTTGATGACAGAGGTATGTGGACAACTGCAAAGTAGGTTTGAAGAGAACAGACGCAGACCTTTTCCACCAGCATTTGAACTCTATTAACAGTAATATCCAATTCACAATAGAGTGCGCATGCCAAAATGACAAGGTCAAGAGTATTTCCTTTCTGGACTCACGACTAACTGTGTTGGGTGATTGTTCCGTAGAGGTTGATGCTTACAGGAAAGCAACCCACACCAACAAGTATCTTGATTTTGCATCTCACAATCCAGGGCAACACAGGGAAGCTGTGGTGAAAACACTCCTCAACAGAGCTAACTTCCTCCCTTTGTGCCCTGAAATAAGAATGAATGACTGGGAATGCGTTTTAAGTGCTTCAACAGCAAATGGCTATCCTGGTAGTCTGTTGAGGAAATGCCTTTGCAACAAGACCAGACCCAGACAGTCACAGGAGAGGCCACTGGGATTTGCAGTCCTTCCTTATGTAAAGGGTGCGTTTGATTGCATGGGCCGTGTCCTCTGAAAATTTCGCATTTGGACAGCCTTTAGACCAGTAAGAACATTGGCCCAGATATTTAAAAAGCCAAAGGACCAACCAGCAATTGAACGAGTCCAAGGGATCGTCTACAACGTGAGCTGCCATGACTGTGCATTCACCTACGTCGGGGAAAGCAAGCGCTTATGGAGCTCGCGCAGGGCAGAGAATGATCCAGGCCATGTGAGCAACAGGGAGTCAGCAATTAAACAGCATACTGAGTCTACGGATCACAACATCCACCCACAAAACGCTCAGATCCTTGAACGTGGTGTCAACAACTATCACAACTGGCTCTTCTTGGAGTCATGGTACTCAGCTTTGGATAGCAATGCCATCAATAAGAGGAAACTGCTCCCTCGCGCTTACTTGCTGTTGATTTAAAAATCAATAAAACAACACCAAGCATGGGGTTGTAGCGGGAGCAATAACAAACTTTCATATTGTATTGTTGAACTCTGATGAAGGTGAACAGAGGTCACCAAAAATTCAGATAAAAAGCAACAGATCAGATTACAAAAAAGTTTTCAAAATTTGTAACATGATACTTTCGTTTTCCTCACAAGGATGCAAAATGACACCCTTGTTTTCTCAAAAACATAAAGTCAATGTGCTTTCTTTTTCACTGCTGGAGACACATTTTTTTTTTCATTTTTCCTCTGTTTGTAATTTTTTTTTTTAATCATAGCAGCACTTACATGACTCAAACTTATATTACATTGTCTGAATTTATGAATATGTTAAAAGCAAAAGTTTTTTTTTCCTTTTTTATGATAAACAACCTTTCTGCATTATTTCTTTATTTACAGGACATTATTTTGTTTTTGCAATATACAACGTAATAGCTAAGTTGAAAATATATGAAAAAAAAAGAAAGAAATACTGCTTATAAAGTTATTGATAATTATTTACTTTTAATTAAATACATGGTATCAAGTTAAAATCGGATAAATAAATGGAAGAATGATTTTTGTTTTATTCGAAACGTTAATTTTCATTTAAATGAAAAACAAGGACTAATCTAATTATCAAATAGTTACATGGAGTCAAAGAATGGCACATTCTCATTTTGTTGCTACCTTTAGCGTTAACAGTAAAACCACTTCAACTTAATACACAATGTTATCGATTAATACAACTGAGAAGCGTTTCAACCAGAAGTACTGGCGGTAAAGATCATTATTTGACCAAGATTATATCCTACACTGGTGAATTAGCCACCTCAAAGACAGATTAAATGTATTGGTGGTTTCAGTAAGTGCCATGGAGCCTGCAGCAATATACGAGAGGTTCCCTTTGTCACACATTTACTAGTTTTATTAAATGAAACTGAAATAGGAAAGTTTCGGCTAAATATGAACTTTTTGCTCTCTTTCTTAGTCGATGAAATAAACAAGCTGCTAAGCAGAGGACATACATTTCCACTCTTTGAACCTTGGCAAACACACAATAGTTTGAAAACAGCAGGTCCCACCCGGCCTGCTACATGCGAAGCTAAGTGGCAGGTGTGCACCCAACTCTGTAGTCCAGCTGTTTATTGATAATGGGCGGGAGAGGCAGGGAAAATACAGACAAATCACAAACTAGCTACTTGCACTAGTGAGAGTCACGACAACACAAGGCATTGTTCGGTATGAGAACAGGCAAGCAGGAATTATAAATGATAACTTGATATCGTTTATCTTGTATCCATTACACATGATAACAGAGTTTTGTTTAGGCTGCCTGCATCCCGGCACACAAACCGGGATCAAGCATATAAGGCAAAGAAATGAATAGATCACAATTATTCTTGCTTAACGTAATTGTTATTGTAGTTCCAAGGACAAAGTAATGTTCATCTCACGCACATCAACGAGCAATGTCTGCTTATGTAAATGTCTTTCATGACTTAACCACAAGACATAGTGTTGACAGTTGTCAAACCTAGTCAAACATTGAGTTGCAGTATAGCGTGACTAAAGGAATGATACACGTGTGATATCCATGCAACGCTTTAAGTTGTTAACTCTATTTTACAAGTAACATTACCAATTAATTCATTAAACAAACACTTAAGTTTACACCTTTGTGCATTAGTAACTTAGTTCCTTAGGCCATGGCATCCCCTAAAACCATCCCAATAGTGCACTCTGCACTGAAAATGCTTTCTGGCGATTGAAAATGTACTTATCTCAGATTCCAGCTGCATATTTGTGCATACATGTAATGTGGAAGGTAAAACCCATGCAACATAAAAATTAATGAACATGTACAGTGGAATCAAGGCACCAACAGGAACCTAACTTAGGTGATGGTTCAGTTTTCTTACAAGTTTGCTAGTGGGTATGCAAAAGGATATCAAGGATTTGGGCGGCCAACCTGCATCAAGAACAACAAGTCACTCTTTGGTGTATTTTATTAAGTACATTTACTTTTTCAGTCTTACCAATAATGTTTCCAAGTGCCCAAACTGCTTGCTCACACACATTTTGATGAGGCGATTCCAGTAGCTTCATGAAATACTTGACAGCATCTAACAGGACAAGACAGAAACTATACTTACCCCTAATCCAACTACAAAATCTTTCTGAAACATGTATAAATTACCAAAAACAAATTGTGAAGTACAGTCTTGGTTATGTTGTTAATAGTAATGATGTAAGAGATTAACATTCACAACAACTATATTGTCATGATTTTGAAATCTGCACTGACAATATCTCAGGAAACTTAACTTTCATAAAAATGAAAAATTTGTTTTAATATTTCCTTTATTAATTAGCCACTCATGATAAGCTATCTTGAATGACATGACAGTCAAACCTGCTTCTCAATTTGTTACTTGTAAAAAATAATTTAGAGCTACACAATTCCAGCTTTGTGCACCAAATGACTGACCCCAAAGGCTTTGCTTTACTATAATAACAATTAGTTCCTTTTTGATGTTCAACACTTTCAATAACTTTATAGTGTATATAAAATGTTTCTTACTTGACTATTTTGTCAAGAAAATGCCTGACACGGTCAAGTTCAAAATAAAACATAAATGTATGTGTGAAATCTTCAGCTGCCTTCGCATAGAAACACAACTTGCTACTTGGATAAACAACCCCTACTCACCAGCTTTAACTACAGCCTTTGTTTGTTCTGAAGTGCCCGAGGCTATGTTTGTTAAGGCCCAAGCTGCCTCAAATTGAAGAGAAGGGCTACAAAGTGAGGCACAAGCCATCAAACAATGCAATTAACTTAAACGATACTATAATATAACAACAACAACAATAATAACAATAACAATAACAATAATAATAATAATAAATAATAATAATAATAATAATAATAATAATAATAATAAAGACTTAATTTACGGAGGGTTAAGACATAATAGCCAAAGGCTTGTGGCCCTCAGAAAATAAAATTACAAACCTAATGAAAATGTTGAAAGCCACGATGAAATTCTAAATAAGTGATTATAACAATATTGTGAAATAATACAAAATATACAATATAATAAAAGTTAAAAACCTAAAATTGCGAGAGACGCGAATAGTTGAATTACACTAAACTAAGTGCTGAAGTCATTAGACATGTATCAGTGTATACACCCATCTAGGTTGGGTGGTTTGTTTTTCCCTTATAGACCATGTGATATTCTCTAGAGAATTGCTTTTTTTAAACTTGGAAAATATTATTTTCCAAGTTGTAGTGGTGAAGCGATTTCACTCCATCACTCCTTCACTCCATCACTCCTTCCCTTCTTCAATCCTTCGCTGAGTTACTTCCTGTTAGACATTTGAAACCCCAGGGGGGGGGGGGAACTCCCATATGAGAAGGTCAGAGTTGCTGATTGGAAAATTTGAATTTAACTCCTAAAGGAGACTAATATCGGAGTTGCTTGAGCTTCATTAGACCCCTAAAAGATACCACTTAAAATGGAATATGTTCGATTACCAGCCACTGTTCAAGAAAGGATCCTGCATGTACTTGTAGACCCGACTCGCTTACTCGAGAGATCAGCGGAAATCAAGCCTAAAAACAGAAATTCAATGAGAGTGTTTCTTTTAATTATTACTTCTTCGACTGCACCCTAAAGGATACTTTGACAGCTAAAAATGGTGATGCTTCATCGTCAACACCCTAAGTGAGACCAGAATCCTTGATTTGTACCTCCGACGATAAGCATCCCTGACCTTTTCATATTGGAGTTCCCCCCNCCCCCCCCCCCCCCACCCCTGGGGCTAATGTAGCTGAGAAGAAGCCTGCAGAAACGGAGTCCAGCTGAGATTTAAGTTAGTTATTTTTTGAATTTCTGATGTAAGTACTCAATATCTTACCGCAGAAATCCTCTACATTGAATAAATTTTCACAAAAACGTTTTTATGAATAGTAGCTACTGTAATTACATAATAGCTCATTTCCCGAAGGTGCCCGCTCATACAGGTTTAACCATTCTTGATTGCCGAAAAAAAAAAGACATTGAAAGTCATAAAACTGATGATCTGTATGAGTTTTCTATTGATTCAAGCCGTGATTGAATGTCTTTGACGATCAACAGTCAAAAGAATTGAGGAGAATTCGAACTGTTTATTTATACGATATTGTAAATAAATATGCAGAAATACGGACATGGCGAAATGAGGAACAATTTGTTGATAAATAGAAAAAACAAAATTACACAAGGCTGGGAGTTCTGTAGTCTTTAATATCTAAGAAAGTGAAGGAAAAAAAAAGAAGACGAAGAAAAAAATAAGTTATTACAACATGGGGTATTCATATTTGGTCACCCATCCAGATACGAATCCCGCCAAACAGGGCTTAACTTTGTTGAGCGGACGAGATGTGTTGCTGTCCTTGTGGTATAGTGATTCTATGCTGAACGCATTTTTTCTAATTTCTAAGATGAGAAAAGGTAACAAAGAGAGAAAAAAATCACTGATACTGGCTGGGAAAATAAAGAACGAAAACAATGAGGGGAATGAAAATGAGAATTATTACGTGCTTCGGTGATCAGACAAGAAGGGGTACTTTCTTTATAATTGTCTTGGTCTCTCGGACGAGGATAGTTCGGTCTCTCGGACAGATAACTTCATGAATGTTTTCAACAGTGTTACGTCTCCTCATGCATTCTCTTACCGTTGTGTTTTGCACTATTTCTTAACAATACCAGTGGGCTTTAACTTCAACTAACCTACAGATTAAAACCTCAAGTCAGTGGCATCAAAATTGTCACTGTCTTACAGACGATCCATTTTCCAAGTTGAGTGCCTCATAGCCACTTTGATTTACATCAAAAAAATATTCATTCATACACACAAGACTATTTGAAAATTTGATTTTAGCAAGAATTCTCAAGAGTATCATCACATGGTCTTTGCAACAAACTACTCAAGCTAAAAAGGTCTGTTACGACAGGGCAACTTTTCACAGGTGTGTGAAACAGTCTTTCTACTTAAAACAAAGATGAGATTTTGTTAATCAGTGGTTACATCTGACTCATTTTTTTCTGTCATCTCAAGGTTGGATTGAATGAACAGTTCTGAGAGGACAGTAGTCTTAAAACTAACATCACAGAACTTAAATCATTGGGGCTTGAAATATGAAATCAAGCATGCTTGAATATGATACACAGTTCTTTAGGCTAAGTCCAGTTTACTGTACAGTTGAAAACTTGTGATAAGACAAGTGAACCTTCAGCATTGTCTAAATTAAGTTCCTAATTTTGACTCGATCCTTGGATCTTGATTCTCAGTCCTGAAATCTTCATCAATATGTACATAGAACAATGAATTCTCACTCATCAAAAATCAAAATAATTCTGAGATTAGTAGTAATCAAAGATTATGAGTGCATTTGCCTTCTACGCCTGTGATGTAACTTAAATAGCTGTCTGTTGCTGAAATCATTATCTTTGTGAACAGCTGAAGTTTTACAGACAGATGAAACATAATTTTTTTATTGCAATGCACACAACTATTTACACAACTTTCATTACAATACTTTACTACTTTACTATACATAATAAACAGGAATTACGGTATAACACAACTAATTCACACTCGCTCACATACACACACTTACGAACAAGTTTACATAGCAAAGTCACACCTATTTGAGCCTGACATATTCTAAGTTATTCAACTACTTCTAGTATTTATATTGCCCACTTCTTCCTAANAGGATTAAATCGCAACTGCTCTGATCGATCGCATCTTTTTTTCGGGATCGTTAAATCTGTTACATCGCAAGTGTTCCGTAATTGTGTTTGTCGAACAATTGCATCTTTTGTTCGGGTTCTAGCATCGTTAAATTTATGTTTGCCACAAATTTCAGGGTGGCCCATTTAGGGTAGTCCATGGGTAGTCCATTCAAGTAGTCCATGGACCAGGTCCATCGGGGTAGTCAATGGACTAGGGCTCAGTGAAATGTACCAACCCCCAATCGGTTGTTTGTTTTCATGCTTGGTATGAACACATTTCTTTCAATTCAGAGCTATCTTTAATCCATTCACTGATGATTTCATGGGAACTTTTCCGGTCAGTTTTCGATTCGACACGGGGTTTGTTTTTACGGCTCAATAGAAGTTAGAAACTCTCGAAGCAGGTTGTTTCCTGCAGACAAGAAAATGCACGTCAAAATTGAAAGATCTCATCTTCCGCTGAAGTTACATGTAAGATCAATTGTTCGATTACCTATAATAATGTCACAAAAATTAAGATATATCAACTGTTAAAGCTGTTAAATAAAAGAAAAATGAATAAGTCAGTGGAAAACCTTTCTGCTTCATTCAACCTAGAATTGTACTAGCCGTGGGAAGCAACGATTCTGATTGGCCAGCCTGTAATTATTGTAAGTCAACAAAAAGAGTCAACACAGTCTTTTTGTCTGGGATCCGTCTAGGTTTTTTACGAAGGCACACGAAGTTTTGTTTGTAGTTTAAACCAAGTTGTTATGTTAAACATGCCTTAATGTAACAGAATTTCACATGACATGAGTAATTTAATGCTGCCATGCAAGTTTCGCAGTTTCATCAAGTTGCACACAAACATAATCGGCGAAAATCACGAAAGTGAACATTATGCAAATTCAAACAATCACTGCTGGCTGTCAATGCAAACAAGAGCTGAAAAGCTGTCTGCTAAACGCAGGCGATATTCAAGTTACATGCACGGTTTCTTGATGTTTTTAAATACGATATTTGGCCAGAAAATCATTTGCAGTACAATCGCAGTAACACTTAGCAATTTGCATACAGCAAGCAAGTTGAAATTTGAGCTCGCTGGAACCAGAAAGAGCTAGAAATATCATTTCACACTCGCAGGCTGTGTTCTCTAGATTTGGTTGATTCGAGCGCGTGTTGTTTTTTCTATGCGACGAATGCAATATAATTGCAATTCAAGACTTCAACTCCAGACTAAAGATTTGGACATTAATATAAAATACATGTACTCTTGCACGAATAAAGGAAGCCGCACGACACACGGTATTGTTTATTTCTATTGTTACGAATTTGAGATATAAATTGCTTTCTCGAAAAATTCTTCAAGTGTCTCAAAACTCGAAACTCGATACTCAAAACTCGAGCCTCGAAACTCCATTCTCGATCCTCGAAAGCATCGAGGATCGAGGATCGAGTTTCGAGTCCAGACTGTCAACTTACATTTGACTGGTACTGTAAATACTTATTGACACTCAAATAAAGTTTACGTATGCGTGTATGTATGTATGTATGTCCTGCAACAACCCTGGAATAGCATTGAGTAGCTGTGGATTAACAAACCTGAAGGTTGTCATCCTTTTCATCCACAATATCCTGTGGGACATTTCTTTTCTTTTGGACACAATCATCTCTTCTAGCCTGATAAAAATAAAAACAAACACAAGCAAACCACTGAGTATAGATGAAACCAAGTGTGGGCCAGATTTGGACACACTATTTGGCGTAGAAGTTTTCGTAGAGTTCTACGCCTATGCGCCTATGGCTCACCCCTAGCCTTCTTTTTTTGCCAGCTTTTTGCGGCATGTTCTTGGCCTATTTTTAATTTTCCCTCGTTTTTTTTCCTAATGCGCGTTTGCGTTGCCTTGGCAACCAATGTATTATTATTGCCAATTTATTCCACAATGTACAAAATGACACATCCGAATGGGTTCTCGACAACTTTCTCACTTTCTTGTATGATTTTTTCCTCGTAATGCTGCCGCATAATGTGCTGCTATTTTTCAGACGATTTAATCCCATTTTGAGGTTTATCTCATCCATTCTTTGAAATTTACAGTTCAATTTACTTATACTTTTTTGGTTAATTTGCTTTTCCTAATATATATTTAGTTAAAACTTAAATTTTTCTTCCCTTATTCTTCCTACTATAATATATCCTTACTGCTATTGTCTCTACATTTTTCTTTTAAATTACTTCTTTACACTAATCTACTGTTTATTAAAATTTTATACCCTTCTACGTCTCTACGCCTCTACGTTTCTTCACCTGTACGCCTCTACGTTTCTACGCCCCTACACCTCTACAATCGTACTCTAAACTATGCGCTTGTAATTTTGTATGCTACGTCTTATAACCTTATTATTTCTTTTTTGGATCTTTACTTTGAGTTTTGGTCACTTTTTTTCTTTCTGCACGTATTTATGTACCAATAGCGAAACCCTTGCCCTGTAATTTTCATTAATCATCTGTCGCAATATACTGTTTTTGGATCTGGGTTTTTTTGATATGTAAGCTACTTGGTTCGCAGGCTGTTACTTACATCTTTTTGGCCTTATCGTATATATCGCACATATCCATTTCCTTTTCCTTTTTAAATCATGTATCTTTCCCAAAAATTTCAATGTTTTCAAATCATAATCTTCTGATCATCTATTACCCATTCTGGCTCTGTATTACACCATTACTGTTCCTGAACTCCCATCACCTCGATTGCTATCAAAGTTTTAAAAATCACCAGAGTAGTTTTTAGCCAAAAGGCCCTTATGCATGGTTCACCACTTTTTCTCAGAGCATTCGCTTTTTGAAAGTTTACTTTTAAAATAGACGGAAACTTGTAACATATTTAACGATTGTATTAGAAGGGGATAAAGTCTCACCTTCCAAGTCTTGCTATAACAATCTTGTTACGCAAATCGGT